TTGACTTTAATAAACTCAGTATTTACGCAGTCCCACCACTGATATGAGAGTTGACACATGGTCGAGATTTCTGTGTAGAACCTGATCGTTTCTACTTGGGCCAATTTTCAAAATTTAACCAACACACATACTGCATTCGCAGGACCGAGTTCAGTTCTTATCATTTTTTTCAGCTGAATCTCCGTCGGTAGATGGAACTCTGACTCCCTCGAGTTTTAATAAACTCGGTATTTACCCGAAACCTCTCCTCAAGGCGGGATGTAGCTCAAGGCCAGCTTTTAACCTGAGGCTTTCCGAGAGCGTACGCACGGGAAAAAATTCCCCGCGGACCCCACATACACCTAGTCGGGTTGCTGTCTATTCTTCCCAGATGAGATATCTGTCTGAAGGCATAACCTCGCCTGAGTTCCTCTGTCCGAAAGCAGAGAATCCGACAAGCTGAATTTTGATAAACTCGCCTTTTACCCGAGACCCCCCACAAGTCAGGATGTGGCTCAAGGCCAGTTGTCAATGTGGGATTCGAACAAGAATTCCCCGTAGACCTCGCATACACAGGGTCCGGTTGTTTGTTTTTCAGCAGACGAGACTCTGCCACGTCTGAATTCCTCACCTCAGAGGCAGAGAGGTCGACAAACTAGAGCTTTGATAAAATCGGTATCTATCCAAGTCCTTCCCATAAGGCGGGATTGGGCACAAGGCCGGTTTTTAACGTGGTGCTTTGCGAACGCTCGGGCAAAAATTCTCTGCAAACTCCGCATACACGGTGTCGGGTGGATGTCTATCTACCAAGACGAGAGTCTGCTTGTAGGCATAGCCTCGTCTGACTTCTTCTCCGTCCGAAAACAGTGTCCGATCAGCAGAGCTTTTAATACTCTGCATACCAGCAAGGTTCTCTTGAATATGTGTTTTCAGAACAGACCCATCAGTGGGGGAGATGGATTATAACACAACGTAAAACAACACGATTTTACTCACATCGTAATGGGATTGGAGTCAGAATGCGAATAAAAGTATTTTCTCCAAGTAGGGATAATATAAATAGTCACTTACCAAGGTTACTACTTAATTATAGGACGATTCCACCTTCATACAGATTGCAAAACCTGTCTGCGTTAATGGGACGACAAATACGATCTTTATTAACAATGACTTTCTAGACAAATGAAAGACGTGGTGTAAGAAAGTAATAAGTTCTGAGGGAGCTAATTTCTTCATGCAAAGTGGACACAAACCACACATTATAGCAAAGAACAAAAAATGCCTAATGGCACATTTTGACCAATTAAGACACAGATTTGAAGAGAAAAATGTTGCGATGATAAAAAGATCTTGATAGAGAAGAAAGGTTAAGTTCTTCGGATCAGGATAATGAAATAAAAGACAAGACTAAGAATGATAGCGAGAGTGAGTCAGACACGGAAGATGATGAAATCAAACCAAAATCTCCATTAAAAAGAACAGAATATATAAACATCATGGGGAAGAGGAGTAAAGAGGTTGTATAAGAACTTCGGGAAAAACCAAAGCCATTAAACCTCTTCGATTCAGGGAGGTGTAGTGGATTGGTAAATAGGATTGTATCTATTTGCATATGTTAAGCGGAAGAGAAATAAGAAAAGAAAGAGACATTCTGAAGTTGACTCCTGATCATGTATAGTAGAACAACACAACAAAATAAAACACAAAACAAAATGTTATTCTCTTCATGAAATTAAATGTGGGGTTCAGAAAGCCAAATCGACCGCCCGTTAGTTTTTATCCTTTTACGTCGGGATGCGTGACTATCAGTCTAAATTTTGCTGTACTTTTTGCTGCACTTCCGTTGATTTTGATAATAATATATTTAATTTTTTTAATTGTTTGCTTAAATTACTGTTGTAATTTTTGTACGTTTTCAAACTTTCTATATTTGTCGACGTAACAAAGGTTACACCGATTATTTTATATTTATTTAAATTGTTTTATTTCCGATGTAAATATTTCATACATTGAACATGATTTGTTGTTGAATTCTTATTATTTCTCGGTTTATCATTCATGCTAGACCTTTTACCATTTTCACCGTTTTGATTTTATCATTTACATATATCTCCTAAGTCATTTAGGGCGATTATTTTTATTTATGTTGAAATTGTTTTGGTTTTCTTATTTAGGAAATATTTTACATTTTTTTGTTGGGGTTAATTTGTTTTTTGCTTCTGGCCTTGTTTTTACTCTCCTTTACTGTTTGTCTCGTTTATTTTTTTTACTTATAGTTTGCTTTGAAACAAAGATATAAACAAAAAAGAACAAAAAAAAAAAGTAATTGACAAATAGCCAACAGTTGTCACACAGTGATAAAAAAGAACAAACTCTGAAGCAAATATTTTTCATAGTAATATGGAGACACAGTAGATATGTTTTCATTAGACATAATAAGCAGTAACATGGGAAAAGCTTAAGTTGGTATTCAAAAGGTCGAAAGAAATTGAACCAGAGAAGAAAAAGACGTCTTCAAAGCGTGAGTTTTCAAAACCAGCGAAAAGGCAATGATGAATGACAAAGGTAATGTAACAACAAGGAATCACCCTTAAATGTCTAATACAGTTGATGCAGTTAGTGGGAAGGAGCAAAAGTTTCAAACAACTCATCAGAGAGAGTATACGTTTGTTAGGCCTTCAAGGCCTATAGGAGCAGTTTTCATGACTGATAAAAGACCGATAAGTTTTGTCAGATCACGAAATCGGTGATGAGATCACTGAGTTTATTCCCTAATTGATCATTAAGCGAAGGGGCTAATTTATGTCGAACATCATGCTATCATAAGTATAATGGCCGGACGAAAGTAAAAATGATTGAAATCTCTATCCATATCTTAGGGGACGACCCCGCAGCCTAAATTTTAAGGTACAGTCAAATTGTGTAAATTCCTCGGATCATGTGCTCGGGAGTTGCGGTTTGATATTATGTTAGACAGGCAAGTCTTCCACCTCTGTTGCTAACTGCTTATATGTAAAGCCGCGAATGTTGCGAGTTATTGTGACCAGCAGAAAGCCAAATTTAAATGCGGTGAGACAAGTTACGACCCAGGATAGAAGGCCTCTGGCGTTCTACCCTATAATGAAAAATATACCCTTCTGTCTGTGTCTTCGAGATCCATCGCATCTATAAAGCGCCAGCAAGAATTGGATCAGTGGAAAAATGACACGGTTGTTCTTTTTCGGTAACTCCTTCTCTTAAGCCACGTCGCAGACCATAGGTGTGGAAGTCGGATGTAGAGCCAGGTAGAAGATTTTAAAGTTACTTACTCCCACAAATCCTCCAATGATTAAGGCATGAAATGTTCCTAGCCGCAGACTCCGACAAATTGAAGGAGATAATGAAAATTGATGATCATGTCTATGAAACAATTGTAAAAAAACAAAAATTGCTCAAGATGTGCGCGCTGTGGTGTTTGTTGATTGTCCCCTTTCAGATATCCGCTATGTCATCTAGTTGATGATTATATTTTGAATAGTGGGTTAATAGTTCTTTGTACTCGATGTTAGTTCTGTTTGAGACAACGAGGTACCGCCACTTCACAAGAATCTACATGTTGTTGCGAAGTTCTCTTTCCAAATGATTAATATTTTGTTTATTTTTTAAATTAGAGTGGAAATGAGATGGCTCGCTTCAGGAAAAGCTATAACTATATATAAGCCTCTTATATATAGTTAAAGATGATCGCTTATGGTGGAACGTTGACTAGGTAGAAATATTTTGGATTTCCTAAATGTTCAGTCACTGTTATATAGTGGCGGCACTTAGTACTAACAAAATATTTCCAATGTTTTTTCTACATATAATTATATCATTGTCAATAAACCCTCGATTTAATTTAATAGTATATGATTGCGATTATTTTACTCACGTCTCACAATAATTTTACATGTTTGGTTTGGTATGTTTTGTTTTACGGCATATCAACTTGTTTGGTTTGGTATGTTTTGTTTTACGGCATATCAACCTCAATGCGTCATTTAATGCCGACAACTTTTTTTTCCTGGTAATATTTTTGTTTTGTCAAAAATCTATTTCTGTTAATATTTTTCCCTCAAAAATGTATAGCTGATAATATTATTTTTTCGAAAACATAAAGTTGGTATAATATTACCAGCTATACGTTTTTGAAAATATAATATAAAAAAAAACATACAAAAACGTATAGCTGGTAATATTTTTTCAAAAATGTGTAGCTGCTAATATTTTTTAAAAAGCGTGTAGCTGGTAATATTATTTTTTTCAAAAAGATATAGCTGGTAATATTATTTTTTCAAAAACGCACATCTCGCAACATTATTCTTTCAGAAACGTATAACTGGTAATACTATTTTTCTAAAAACATATATCCGGCAACACTATTCGTTAAAAAAAAAACGTGTAGCTGGTAATATTATTTTTTGAAAAACGTACAGCTGGCAACATAATATTTTCAAAAACGTATTATCAGAGGCCTTGCTGTTAGACGTAGTTTATCATCTTACCCAGGACGCGGGTAAAAAAAAATTAATATTGCCAGCAATACGTTTTTCGCAAAATAATTTTACCAGCTATACGTTTTCGGCAAAATAATATTACGTTTTTGAAAAAATGATATTACCAGCTATACATTTTTGAGAAAAAATATTAACAGAAATAGTTTTTTGACAAAGCAAAATTATTACCAGGAAAAAAAAAAGAGTTGTCGGCATTAAATGACCCATTGATGTTGATATGCCATAAAACAAAACAAACCTTATAATTATTATTACATATAATTATATCTTGAATCTAACCTGTCGTCTGTCACGCTACATTTAACATACTTTCTTTATCAATCTGTTTAAGAAAATACCATAAATTAAATAAAAATTGTGTCTTCGTGAGATTAAATCTATCTGTAATGTAGTATTCGAATTTGTGCTTATTAACTGTACACGGGTAAAAGTGAATCATTATGGGCTTCATGAAAAACAAGATTTAATTTCAAATTGGCAGTCAACTTATCGCGATTTACTAGCCGTAAATAGAAAGAAAGAAAGGACCAATGCAACTGGAGAGCAGGGAAGAAAAAGAAAATAAAAAAACAGGCGGAAATAAAGAAAGAAAACAACAAAAGACAGCCATGAGGAAAAATAAAAAAGAAGAGAAAGAAAATAGTATTTCTAAGGATAAAGAAAAAGAAAGAATAAATAAAATCGAAAAAATGTAAGGAAAGGAAAAAGCATAGATAAACAAATAGAAATAGTGAAAGAAAGAAATATAAAAAGAAAGAATCAATGAATAAAGACAATGAAATGGATAGAAAGAAATGTGTGAATAATAAAAGAGGGAAAGATTGGAGAAAAATGGAAAGAAAGAAAAAAGAAATGATGAACGGATAGAATAACAAATGAAAATAAAGAACGGGCAGTCAGTGAGAAGAATGAATAAATAACGGATGAATGAATAGGAAAGATAAAATAATGAATGTCAAAGAAAAAATTAAAAAAAAAACAGGTAAGCAAAACAGAAAATGACAAAAGAGTGAAAGAACTGTAAATAAATAACGTGAGAGAAGGAAAATAAAGTAACTGAGAAAAAGAATTAAAAAAAAAAAAAAACAAGTATGAAGAACATGTTTTCAATAAAGGAGGTTCGAGGAAGAATGAAACAATGAATAAAAACCTATAGAGAAAAACTGGCTAAATAGAGAAACAAATAGGAAAACGTAAGAAATATAACGTTAGTGAAAAGAAAAACAAGCAAAAACTTATAGACAACTATTGAAAGTACTATACATACTTGGGAAATAGTGAAAGTTTTTATGAACGACTTTTTACGCAAAATTAGGGGATTGCACTATACGCTGGTAATTTTATGAAGAGATTAAAAATCATTCATTTTCATTGATCGATTGCGCTATACACAGGAACCTTTTTCTGTTTTGGTTAATATTTACGCAAAATAGTTCAAGGCTGGAACTTTGCATAAAGCCGACTTATACACGAGTATATACGGTATATTCTGAAAGTTTGATGGATATCTATTATTCCACGATTGGTTCTATATAAATAATATCCCTGATCATGTCTGATAATCTTGTACAAAAAGGAAATGCGTTTCAAAACAAAGACATAAAATGTTCTATTAATTTAGTGCAACAATTAATCATTCAATTTTTCCCGCGCTTTTTGAAAAAACAGATGACAATTATTTTGGGATGGATTACGATCCAATATATGAAAGCAAATCCATAAGAATGAGATATAAATGAAACCAAGTCTTACCAAATGATGAAAATTGTATCCATTATTCCAGGTTGGTGCAACCCAACTAAAAGGGACTATTCTTGCAATTCTGCATTCACGTTGCAATATGGTTGGCGGATATGTTACATTGTGACGACGTTACTGTAACGTTTCAGTTAACAATTTACCTAAATCCCCAATGTTGTGAAAAAGTTATGGTAATACTGCGAATTGTGATTGATGAAAGATTCCGCACTGGTCAACTAACGTCAAATACTTTTTCTTTCATAACAATATATATAGAAGATATGAAATTTAGTTCCGTATTTCTTCAAATTTAGAAATCATTATTTCTGAGGATGAATGCTGCTTCTAATGTGTCTCAGGACAGCAAAGTCAGTGAAAAAAAGAAAAAAAAGTTTGCAAAGACGTTTTTGCTTTTTTATTTTTAATTATACGTGGCAATATAAGAAATTTCTTCGACTGTACATATTCGGTAAGTTAGACTGATATCAGAACATCCATGCTTATTTGTCACCAGCACGAACATCATCGTCATTATCAGTAGCTGCAGAATAGGTGATATTTCCGCATACTTCCATGATGACGCTTCTTTCCTACGCAACAAAATAACATTTCCCATATCTCGGCTGAAAATGTCTACGCACAAAACATAATTTAAAACGTAGATGCCCTAATCACTAAATCGGCGAGGCTTTTGTTGCTAATTCTTAAAATACGTTTATATACCGTATATAGTGGTGTACAAGCCGATCCGAATAAGACAACTTCGGGTTTTATTGTCTGAGAAATGGGCTATAAAACAAACTTAGTGTAAAAGTTGTAACATTTAACACATAGCGTTAAGATGGTGTGCTTGCGCCAATCCAGAGAAAGTTTTTAATAAGTTTTTTTTAATATATATATATATATGATTAAATACCGGTTATACATTAAGGGGAAGTACGTAAGATGTGGTTAGTTTAATTCTGAAATTTGGCGATAAAAAAATGTTGTTTTATATTAAAAAAAACGTCGGACCCACCATTCGATGCATAATTATAATCAACACTTACGTTTATAACCGCACCCACTCCGCTTAAATATATATAATTCCATCACGATGGAAATAATATTAGTTCAAGAATATTTTTCGAGAGGAGGAAATACTATATACTTTGTCATTCAAGTGATAATATTTTTAATATATAGAAACGTATATATCATATTCTCTCTCTGTGTCTCACACACATACACAAACAAACACACACACATATATATATATACATATTAATATATATGCATACATACATATATATATATATATATTTATATATATATATATATATATATATATACTCACACGTTTCATTCAAATGTTGTCTATTTATTTTATGTAAATTCTTTTCATAACGTCTGATAAGTTTAATAACATTATCATTAAACGAAGAAAGAAATTCACAATATTGATCCATATTTCTTCGTTTAATGATAATATTATTAAACTTATCAGATGTTATGAAAAGAATTTAAATAAGATAAATAGACAACATTTTTCTATATATTTAATGAAACGTGTATGAATGAAAAGATGCTGTCTAAACACACACACAATATATATATATATATATATATATATATATATATATATATATATATATATAATTTTCTCTCCTTGAGTTTTCTCTCCTTGGTAATGTTTAGTTGGTATTCGTCGTTATATATATATATATATATATATATATATATATATATATATATATATATATGATATGAATATATAAATATATAATACATATAAAAGAAAACAGCTCTCTAGATATGGGCATGAAATTTCATTTAACACTATTTACATTATTCGGATTATTGTCCTCATCTTAGTTGGCATATTTATCACAAGATTTCGGCCGTTGCACGCCCCGGCCTTCTTCAGGTGGTTGGAATGTCGAACTCAACCCTTTATCTCGTTCGTTGGTGTAGACTGTTCTATTTTCACGTGCTATGTCTAGTGGATGTCAGTTATCCCCTCGTCAAGTTCTCCACCGCCTTAACCAGGTATTGAACTCACACTCTCTAGGTCCCCTCACCGGATGTAACTAACGCCTTTATCTACTGTGTCACGTGTCCTTGAGGACTTCTGGGGATGAATTTCTGGGTATTATAAACCTAATGTCTTCCGCAACAACTTTTTATCAGTGCTCATATTGCAATTTTTTGGTGTTATCAGTCATTTTTTTTACCAGAGCTCATACTGCAATTTTCGTTGTTATTATTGCATTTCTCTGACACTCCATATTACTGGTTACCATATTGTATTCATTTCTATGCTTGGTCGACTCAGGAGATTTTTGTGTCCTAGCATATGTGCTGATTCCTTGAGTTTTCGAATTTTCGAATCATGTTCTATTTCCATGATGTCAACCTGATCCCACAGCGGTCGGTGATCCTCTTTTCTCTCCATATGTGGTCAGCCACGCCTTATTTTTCTACTTCAACTCGTGTTACAGCTTTCTGGTATTCTTGAACCCTTACGTTAAGGGGAAAGCCTTGTTTCCCCTTTATATTTCTTTCCGCAGCTGCACGGGATGTTGTACACACAGTCTTTAGTCATGATCTTCTCTAAGACCTTCGATATAGTTCACGATGGAGAAAGAGAGTAACAACACACTTCCATTCCTGGATGTTACAATATCTCGAGCAGAGCATGGGTTCAAGACATGAGTATACCGTAAACCGGCATTCACCGAACAGTACCTTAATTTCAAATCCCACCATCCATACAGCGTAAAGAAAGGGATCATCCGCTACTTACAACATCGAGCAAAAGTCATAAGTGGTGACCCAGAGACATTAGATAAAGAATTGGTCGGTATAAATAGTACCCTACAACGTAAGAACTACCCTGGTTACATGGCAGCAACCGCAATAAACTGGGTTAGGCGGGTACAAGATGAGGAAAACAACACTCAGAAAACAGTCTGTCTACCTTATGCGAAGGGGTTATCAGAGAATATACAAAGGATCTGCGATTCATATAACATCAGGACAACCTTCAAAAGCTGTACGACACTTCGCAGATATCTCATCCGAGTGAGACTCCCCACTCCATAGAGGAGAACAGGAACTGTGTGTACGCCATCAAGTGCAGCTGGGGAAAGAAATATAAAGGGGAGATAGGCTGCACCCTTAAGGTAAGTTTTCAAGAACACCAGAAAGCTGTAACACGAGGTGAAGTAGAAAAATAAGGTGTGGCTGACCACATATGGAGAAAAAATTTGAGATGTCTGAAATATAGACAGATACTGAATATCATTTAAATATCAAATATTTTTTTATTTTTCTCTTTCGTTCATTTGTCTGTTTCTCTATTTGTTTATACACACGCACATATAATATATGTGTGTGTGTTGATACATGTTCGTATATGTATATACATATATGGGTGTATTATGTGTGTAGTGTATAGATACATGTGTAAATATATATATATATATATATATATATATATATATATATATATATATATATATATATATAAGCTATCTGGGATACTATACATATACTAGCTGGGATACTCAGCGTTGCTGGAAAGATTTTTGAATAATAGGTCATTATTTATTGATACTTTCTGTAATCTTTTGGGAAAAAAAATCATTGAATATTTAGAAATTAAATTTCAATGTGTATTTTTGGGTTTGTTACGAAATAGCTTGTGATGGTGTCAAAGGGGGCGAGCATCCCTATATTTTTATTTAAAATCTTATTAAATCTTCCATTTCAATATTAACATAAAATCTCTGTTAATGTTGTTTTCAAACAAAACTTAGATAAATGTTCATTACACTTTTTCCAAATTATTATTATAATAATGTAAATAAACTTAAATTAAAATATATTTAAGCATATTTAATTTAATCATTTTTCAAGTAAAAACTGTAGTGAGCCTTACTTCATAGAAAAATAATTATTTACAATTTATTTTGGAGCGTAATTTAGATTTTTTTAAACTTTTAAACATTACATTAAAGAAGCAATCTTTTCTCCGTAAATGAATTTAATTACTATTTTTTAAAGAAATTAGAAGCAAGATACTTTGAGAAATTAGATTTGAAAGCAGCTATGTCTGAATGTCATGTAATATTTGTATTTGAAAAGAAAAGAAAACCTTAGTTAAATATAAATTAGCAGAGGCAGCCATGACTTACTGTCAACATTAGTCGTGTTGAATATTTGTTTTACGAATTTAAAGATTTTCTAAAAATCTATAGATTTTTGCTTAAATAAAACAATTCAAATTATTTATTTTTTATGTTAGTTACAAAGCAAGAAAAACGGCGAAGTTTATTTTTTAAAGATTAAATAAAAAATGATTTTCGATAAGATGGCCAAAAATATTAATAAGTCAATAATGGACGCAGACACACATAGAGACATACACAGACAACTGTCCTTTAGGCTGATACTGAGTCTGTGAATGTGGAGGCGGTGGTCGAGGTCCTGATGTGAAGGTCTTTTAGTGTGGTAGTCACCAACGTAGGGATATATTTGTTTACAGGAGGTTATCTTCGGATAACGTCCTTAATCCATTTATACACCAATGTATGGGCTTTGAAAAATTCACGCAAAGATAATTAATGTAACTATATATATATTGTCTGTACTGATAAAAAAAAGAGTTTATAAGTTCAGTGAGAATATTCTCATGTTGAAAGTCTTTATGTTCTTAGCATATATATATATATATATATATATATATATATATATATATATATATATCCGTTTTCCTGCCCGTCCATATCTGTCTTAACACGATTTCTTTAAAGGGACAATGAAAGTCATTCCCGAATTGTTCTTGATTTTGATCGCTTCAAGATTTATTTTGTCTTTAATTATTGTAGTTTAATAGTGTAATATCTATTTATTCAAATATTCATTGTGTGTCTGGCTAAATCTAAAAAGATTTAGCCAGACACACACGAATATTTGAATAAATAGATATTACACTTTTTTAAAATAATTTTATTTAATATTCTTCTTTTAAATTTACTTTGTTGTTTTAATATTCATTTTTTTCTAAAGTTACGCTTTTATTTAAAATAGATATGAAAATAAATCCAAGAGAATAAAAATTTTAAAAATACGGACAAACCTCTCATTAACGGACTAATAGTGGGGAAGGGGTTGTCCGTTAAAGCCGATTGTCCATAGATGGAAGAAGCTCTAATTTGTCACTGATACTTAATTTTGTGCGTTTTCTTTTTACACTTTCCTTATGTTTCGATACCATGATGACGACAGGACAATTAATATATTAATCAAAATAACAAAAATCATACATATCTCAAAGTTAATTTCATACGCACGCGTTAATGTATCGTTTTTTCCGTCTTTGTTTACAATTGAAATATCTGCCACCGCCGCCAAGCGGCCACTTTGAGAACTAAGACGACTCGTTCAGTTAAGTCAGTGAATTTTGAAATAAATCGCTGATGTTTGTATGTTTTTTGTTTTTTGTTTAATTCAATTCGGAGTCCATCGGTGGACGTCCGTAGATGAGAGGTTATTTTCTGTACATTTAGCGTCACCACTCGTGCAAGTATACGCGAAGCAACAGGTCAAAATGAAGGAGGAAATAAGAAAGAAAATAGAAAACAATGTTCCTATGAAATTAGTCCTTCCTCTTAAACAAACAAAAAACATGAAGTTTGTTTTTTAAAGATTGAAAAAAAATTATTTTCCATAAGATGGCCAAAAAATATTAATAATCAATAACACAGACACACACATATGATAATTATTGTAGCATCTTTAGTTTTAGCCGGACACACACTCGACTATTTGAATAAATAAATATTAAACTTTTTGTCAAATGTATTTAATATTTTTCTTCTTTTAAATTTACTCTGTTGATTCATTTTTTTTAAGTCATACATTTATTTACTATACTTGTGAAAATAAATTCAAGAGAATAGAAATTTTAAATATATATACAGTGTAACCCGCATATAAAAGAACTGGTTATAAGAGAAACCCGGATATAAGAGAGAT